GGTACTTAATGAACTTTTGTTGAATAGGTAATTTTCCCCCCTTAGTGTGTTATTTTCAGAATCTTTTTGGAACTGTAGCACTTAATTTCTTTTCAGATAATTTTATATGTCAAAATCAAACTTCAGAATAAGAATTTACTGATCAGAACACCATTTGGTACTTCATATGGTAGGAAGGAGTAAAACCAATGGCTAAAGTAAAAAATTTTTGTGGGTGGGCACAGTGGCTCATGCCTGTGATCTTAGCACATTGGGAGACTGAGGCAGGAGGATTGCTTGAGGCCATGAGTTCAAGACCAACCTGGCCAACATAGTGAGACCCTTGTCTCTAAAAAATAAAGTTTAAAAAATTTAAAAATTAGCCAGGCATGATGGTGTGTGCCTGTAGTCTCAGCTACTTGAGAGGCTGAAGCAGAAGGATCCCCTTGAGCCCAGGAGTTTGAGGCTGCAGTGAACTCTGATCTGCCACTGCACTACAGCCTGGGCAATGGAATGAGACCTTGTCTCTGCAAAAAAGCAGAAACAAAAACTTTTTTTTTTGTAGTGTTTTTTCAGTATGTTGTCAAGGAAACTTATTGAGGAGAGCTATTTACCATTGACGGTATTTGCTTTGAAGTGTGGCTACAAACTAATGAAGCTTTCTTTCTTAAGCCTCATTATTGTAGTCTTAGTTCATATAGTCGTGGTTGAATGTGCAAAGCAGTAACACTTGCTAGATTTACTAATTAGTATTTCACATTGATTGAAATTTAGAAATTGAATGATTATACTTTATGTCAGTCAGAGGTTTCCTTTTCTTTGCTTTCGCTTTGAAATAATTCCGGTAAAGATTTTTCTTTTGGACTGTAACTTAATTGAATGGCCCTAGTCAGCCTTTGAAGCAATGCTTAGGTTTATAATGGCTAACAAACACTTTACCAGGAAGGAAGGGAAGAAAGACTATGTGTGGTTACATATACAAGTCAGTGGAGGATTTTATTTATTTATTTATTTTTTGAGACGGAGTTTCGCTCTTGTTACCCAGGCTGGAGTCCAATGGCGCAATCTCGGCTCACCACAACCTCCATCTCCTGGGTTCAAGCAATTTCTCCTGCCTCAGCCTCCTGAGTAGCTGGGACTACAGGTGTGCACCACCATGCCCAGCTAATTTTTGTATTTTTAGTAGAGACGGGGTTTCACCATGTTGACCAGGATGGTCTCGATGTCTTGACCTCATGACCCACCCGCCTCGGCCTCCCAAAGTGCTGGGCTTATAGGCATGAGCCACCGCGCCCGGCCGTCAGCGGAGGATTAACCCATTTTACTACTTTTTATTCTTGATCTTTTTATAGGTAGATAAATATGACTTAAATGCCTTTGTCTAGAGTCGTTGGAGGACTTTTTTTAACCTTATAATTTCAGTTAACATACATGCTTATATTTGAGTTTATTTTCTTTTGATAAGGAATGTTTTAAAATGTAAGATTGGTCACAGTTATTGAAGAGAATGAGTGTGGCAGTAGTTTTATGATTTATTAATATACAACTAAGGATAACCTTCTGGAAGGTTACTCCACTGAGGTATAGACTCTGGGGAAAAAAGTAGTAGCACTGACTCCCTTCAGGTTTAAAAAAATTACTGACCGGGCTTGGTGGCTCATGGCTGTAATCCCAGGTGCTTGGGAGGCTGAAGCAGGAGAATCCCTTGAACCTAGGAGGAGTTTGCAGCAGTGACCCAAGATTGCATCATTGCACAACAGCCTGAACAACAAGAGCGAAACTCTGTCTCAATAAAAAAAAAAAAAGGTCGCAGCCGGGCGCGGTGGCTCAAGCCTGTAATCCCAGCACTTTGGGAGGCCGAGGCGGGTGGGTCATGAGGTCAAGAGATCGAGACCATCCTGTTCAACATGGTGAAACCCCGTCTCTACTAAAAATACTAAAAATTAGCTGGGCATGGTGGCGTGTGCCTGTAATCCCAGCTACTCAGGAGGCTGAGGCAGGAGAATTGCCTGAACCCGGGAGACGGAGGTTGCGGTGAGCCGAGATCGCACCATTGCACTCCAGCCTGGGTAACAAGAGCGAAACTCCGTCTCAAAAAAAAAAAAAAAAAAAAAAAAAAGGTCGGGCAGGGTGGCTCAGACCTGTAATCCCAGCACTTTGGGAGGCTGAGGCAGGCAGATCACCTGAGGTTAGGAGTTCAAGACCAACCTGACCAACATGGTGAAACGCCGTCTTTATTAAAAATACAAAAATTAGCCAGGTGTGGTGGTGGGGACCTGTAATTACAGCTGCTTGGGAGGCTGAGGCAGGAGAATCACTTGAACCTAGGAGACCTAGGAGGTGGAGGTTGCAGTGAGCCAAGATTGTGCCACTTCACTCCAGCCTGGGTGACAGAGAGAGATTCCATCTCAAAAAAAAAAAAAAAAAAAAATTACTGTGATCACAAAACCAGTTTCACATAACATTAGCCATTTTAAAGTGAAAAGTTCATTGGTATTTAGCAATCATTATTTCATATCTTTCTGAATACTTTCATCCTCCCCAAATAAAACTCTGTACCTGTTAGGCAGTTGCTGCTCATTTTACCCTTTCCCCAGTTCCTGGTAACCACCAATCTGGTTTCCGTTTCTCTGGTTTAGCTTATTCTGTATATTTCAGATACATGGAATCATACAATATGTGGTCTTTTGTGCCTGGCTTCCTTCACTTAGCATGTTTTCAGGGTTCATCCATGTTGTAGCATCTATCAGTAACGCATTTATTTATTTGTTTATTTTAATTTTTTTGAGAGGGTTTCACCATGTTGACCCAGGATGGTCTCGATCTCTTGACCTCGTGATCCACCTGCCTCGGCCTCCCAAAGTGCTGGGATTACAGGCTTGAGCCACCGTGCCCGGCCAGTAACTCATTTTTTAAATGGCTGAATAATATTCCATTGTATGTATAGGTCACATTTTGTTTATCTGTTTATTGTTATTGGATATTTAAATTGTTTTTACCTTTTGACTATTGTAAATAATGCTGCTGTGAACGTTCGTTTCTGTTTGAGTATCTGTTTTTAGTTCTTTTTGGCTATGTACTTAGCAGTACAGTTTCTAGAGCTAATGGTAATTTTATGTTTAACTTATTGAGAAACAACCAAACTGTTTTCCACAGCTGAATGAACCATTTTACATTCCTGTCAGCATTGTCCAAGGGTTCCAGTTTCTCTATGTCCTTGCCAGCACTTCTTATGCTCTGTTTGTTTGGCTGATTGAAATATAGCTACCTTATTGATTGTGAAGTTGTATCTCATTTTGGTTTTGCTTTGCATTTCCCTAATGACTAATGATGTCGAGCATCTTTTCATGTGCTTGTTAGCCATTTGTAGATCTTCTCTGTAGAAATGCTGTGTATGTTTTTGTTGTTTTAGGTACCGGACAGATATTAAATACATAATTTGCAGATACTTTCTTCTATTCTCTAGGTTGTCTTTTCACATTCCTGATTATGTCCTTTGTTACACAGAAGTTTTTAATTTTAGTAAAGTCCATTTTATCTTATTTACTGTTTTGTTGCTCATGCTTCATATCTAAGAATTGGGCGTATCTTCCCAAATTCAAGATCATGACAGTTTACCCCTTTATGTTTTCTTCTAAATGTGCTATAGTTTTAGCTCTTACATTTAGAGGTTGTTGGGCCATTTTGATTTTGTATGTGGTATGAGATAGTCCAATGAGAGGATTTTTTTTTTTTTTTTTTTGAGTTGGGATTCTCACTGTACCTGAGACCACAGATGCGCACTGCTAAGCCTTGCTTATGTGTATGTGTGTGTGTGTGTGTGTGTGTGTATTTTTTTTTTTTTTTTTTTTTTTTTTTTTTTTTTTTTGGTAGAGACAAGGTCTTGTTATGTTGCCCAGGCTGGTCTTGACCTCCGGGGCTCAGGCAGTCCTCCTGCCTTGGTCTACCAAAGTGCTGGGATATATTATGAGCCACCACACCAGGGTCTTGTAGTGTTTTTGAACTAAGTATATATACATACCAACCAAAAACTATTGTGGATTTCATAGTATTTTAAATTATTTTGCATTGTATTAATCAAAGAAGAGCTTATAAATATATTTGAAAAATAGTACTTGTAAGTTTAAGACAATTTTTAAGTCCATGACCTACATATTAGTGACTGAATATGGATTTATGGATTTCCTTCCCATAACACCATGATCATCTCTGAATCTACAGATCACAGATTTTGTAGATGAGCATCAGAAGAATCTCTGATGACAGGTGAAAGAGGGACTGAGGATGAAGGTAGAGTTTCCAAGGGTCCATAGCTGCAGAGACCTCAAGAAAGAGGCTGGGAAGTCAGTCACTAGAAGGCGGTGGTGAAATCTATTAGCATTTCATTTGAGACAACAAGGATAATTGCAAAGTTTGGTTTGGAGGCTCATGGGTCATCATCAGAAAGTAAAGGTTTAGGAAGCAGTTGAAGATTCCTTTAGTTTTGGATCTAAAGCCAACTCAACTCAGCCTCCAAACAGGACGTCCAGCTGACTGTGTTTAGCATCTTTCCTACAGAGGGGGGTAAGTAAGGAAACGGAACTAGGCAAGTTCTAGATTTGTTATGGTGGCAATCCTGGCCAAGGGCCTTTTGTCTTCTGGCCAGCTTTTTCAGTGCTGACAGGCTCATCAGTGACAGTTATCTTCTTTTTTTTTTTTTTTTTAAGTCTTTTTGTCATCTTGTCAGGTCTGTGTGCAAAGGGCTCTAGCAAAAGGAAGAAGGAGGGGATAGATAGGGCAGGTGATGGAGCGTCTGAGGGGAGTGTAGCGATAGGGGTCTTCAGATGCCCTTCTGCTTTTACTGGCTGATGGTCTGCTTTTTCAGATAGAAACGAAAGCTACTTTACAAGAAGTGATTTGGGAAGGCATAAACAAAGAGGGGATTTTGGTTACTTTGATGTTTGTGGTGTTTAAACTCTGAATTTGTGTGGATATGTCTTTTTGAATTTTTAACCCACCACGAAACCTCTGTGATTTAACAGGTGCTACTTGTGAGCAGTAGTCGCCATCCAGACAGATGGATTGTCCCTGGAGGAGGCATGGAGCCCGAGGAGGAGCCAAGTGTGGCAGCAGTTCGTGAAGTCTGTGAGGAGGTATGCACAGAGAAGAGACGGCACAGCTGTGCCTCATAATCATGAACCCATCCTATCTGTGTAGTTATTTAATATATCAGCACTCACTGAGTAAACCTATAATCACAGAAAAAGGGCAGTGAGTGGTTACCCAGTGCCTTCTTTATTACCAGGTGATGGAGTTGTGACATGGTAATATTAACCAGGCACTCTATGCCAAACCGTGTTTTTTTTTTGTTTTTGTTTTTTTTTTTTTTGAGACGGAGTTTCGCTCTTGTTACCCAGGCTGGAGTGCAATGGCGCGATCTCGGCTCACCGCAACCTCTGCCTCCCGGGTTCAGGCAGTTATCCAGCCTCAGCCTCCTGAGTAGCTGGGATTACAGGCACGCACCACCATGCCCAGCTAATTTTTTTGTATTTTTAGTAGAGACAGGGTTTCACTATGTTGACCAGGATGGTCTCGATCTCTTGACCTCGTGATCCACCCGCCTCTGCCTCCCAAAATGCTGGGATTACAGGCGTGAGCCACCGCGCCCGGCCACCAAACCGTTTTTTGTGACTTCCCATAGATTTCTTCCAACACCGCCTGTTACCTGTGGCACAGAATGAAGAAGCAAATAGTTCCTCACCTCTAAGAAATAAGAAGAACAGGCAGCATTAGTATAAATGACTCATTGTCATTACGTTTTGGAGGAGGTGCTTCCTGTGTCCTAGCCATGAAACTGTGGCTAAAGAAATGATTCTGTTAGACAGATACTGTTAATGGTACAACTTGAGAGATAATAGTGTCTTCTTTTTTATTTAGTAACATGATGTTCCACATATGTGTGTTGAGTTCCTGGGCCATGATATGCTACCAGATACTCCAGAGTAAATAGAAGAAGTAAAGTCATGGACCCTTAGTTCTCTTATTTCAAGAATTTACAGTCTGGGGGAAACTGAGAAACAGATTGCAACTCAAAACCCAGAGAAATGAACTAATGTTTTTCCATAGCCTCTTCTGATGATAACCATGTTCTGCTCTGCTTGTTATCTCACTTAGGACTGGTAACTTGGTTGTATAAGCTTTATTGCCCCAGTTTACTCACCCTGGCCACATAGGTAGTGCTTTTGAAATCAATTTCCTTGTTCCAGAGGGAATTTAAGATTGATTCTAAGAACATACAAAAAAGCACTTAAAAAAAAAACAAGTCTAATTCTTATGTTTCTTTTGGATCTAGCTTTTGGTGAAGGACTCCTAGAGTAATCTTGGAATATCCAAGGAATTCTTTCCTCACTCTGAATTCCTACACTTACATTGGCTCATTTCACTCTCATTGTAGCATCTGTCTTCTACTCATAACTGGATTATTCTCTCCGAGGGCAAAAATCATGTTTCCCATCAAAAATTCCTGCTTTTCTTGCCTAGTACACAGCTAGGTGCACAGAAGGTAATTAATACATGCTTCTTTGATAGATGGAACAGTGGTTGGAACAATGCAGATGCTGAAGAAATACCCTAGATGGAAATTATGAGAGTATAGAAAGTGATAAACATTGAGAAGAGGATGTGAGAAGGCATTCTTACAGTGGGTGGTGAGGAGGCTAACTTGGGTAGAACCCAATGGAGTCAAGAGGGGGTGTAGTGAAAACAACACTGACTCGGGAACCCTGGTTTCTATTAGTGTCAGTTAATAGCTGTGTGACCTGTGAGAAAATAACCTTAAACACCTTAGACCTTTGTCCTTCATTGGATTTATCTTCCTGTTTACTCCATCATGGAGGGAATGGAGGGGAATATGAGGTTCCAATGAGAACATGAGTGTGAATGTCCTTTATGAATTATGTATCACTACCAGTTAGGATGTGTGCAGCTGAAAATAATAATATGCCCGTTACCGTTTGGGAACAGGTTTATGATATCACATAACAAGAAGTCCCAGGTTTGCTGACTCAGCAGTATTTAGAGCCCAGGTGCTTCCTGTCTTTTATTCTGCCATCCTTGGTACATTTTGCCCTTTAACGGCAGAGTTAAGTAATTGTGACAGAGACTGTATGGCCTGTATAATAAATTTTTTCTCACTCTGAAATTATATATTATCTATTCGTTCTTTTGTAGAGTAAACATATGTTGGCACACTCCAATATAAGTTAAATTTCTAACAAACATTTAATCTTCTCTTATTTATTGGCCATGCTTTTCAGTTACTTTTAATTAAAGTCTAAGAGGTTTCTCAAAGTCATGTCTTAGATGATGAGGGCTCTAGTAGTTCAAACATGGAACTGACATTCCCTTTGCCAGCAAATTTAAGCATAGCATATTTACTTTGAACCATAGCCTCTTGTGACAGCATGGTCTGCTTTGCTTGTTACCTCATTTAGGACTCATAACTCAGTTGTATAAGCTTTATTGCCCCAGTTTACTTGCATATGTTTAAGTTGAACCATAGCCTCTTGTGGTGACACCATGCTCTTTGATGGGAAACGTGATTTTTACCTTCAGAGAGAATAATCAAGTTATGGGTGTGAGACAGATACTACAATGAGAGTGACATAAGCCAATGTAAGTGTAGGAATTCAGAAATGTGGAAAGAAATCCTTGGCTATTCCAAGGGTAAGATTATTCTAAATATAAGTTTAAGCATAAGCAATGTATAGGGTACATTTACTTTTGTTTGCAGGCTTGTCTCCTTGTGGTGACAAGATGGCTATCACAGCTCTATCCTTACACATTCTTTTCAAATGCAGGACACACAGTTTTACCTCCTGGGTCTCCCTTTATTTGAGAGAAAAGAAACCCTCCCCAGAAGGTCCAGCAGACTCTTTATGTCAGTGTTCCAGAGTTGCTTTGCATGCTTACGATTAAACTTCCTGGCAAAGGGAATGTCAGTTCCCTGTTTAAACTACTAGAGCCTTCACCATCTAGGATTTGACTTTGAGAAACCTCTCAGACTTTAATTTAAAGCAATTGAAAAGCATGGCCAATAAGAGAAGATATAATGTTTATTTTGTTAGAAATTTAACTTAGATTGGAATGTGTTAATATATGTTTACTCTAAAAAACAATGGATAGATAATATATAATTTTAGAGTGAGAAAAATTTATTATACAGGCCATACAGTCTCTGTCACAACTAAGTCTACCATTGTAGGGCAAAAGTAGCCATAAACTGTACAACACGTAAACAAATGGGCCTAACTGTGTTCCAGTGACGCCTTGTCTATAAAAACTCTGGTGAACCATAGGTAATCCCTTCTTTACGCTCTTGCTACTCACAGTGTGGTTGGTGGACCAGCAACATCAGCATCAGCCAGGCTTGTTAGAAATGGAAAATCTTTGACCCCAGCCCAGATGTACTGTATCAGAATCTGATTCTAACAGGACCTGGGGTGATTTTGAGAGCTTAATGCATTAGAGTGTTGAATTCTTACCAATGAGTGTTCTGAGAATTCCTCCTGATGGAGCTGTGGAGTGAAATGCTCTTTGAGGGTTAGACTGTGGTTTGGTGGTCTCCACACCCCTTCCAGTACTCTTCTCACATGGAGAGACTGGAAAGCTAAAAAGTACTTTTCCTAGACTCATATAAGGAATGCAACTAAGTCTCCTTGATGATACTTAGATATCCCCAATACAAAGCACTTATACAAGATTGCTTTAGTCACAAGGAGGGCATGTTCTGAGAGCAGCAGGCCCATCTGTTTTGGTGGCACACGTTTAGACAAAGGAGATACAGCTTTGGCATTGGCAGTTACAGTGTCAACTTCCTGATTTGGCTGGTGGCTTTTACTTGGCAGCTTCCTGATCCATCCCAGAAGCAGCAACTGCCTTGGCAGTCCAGTTCTGCAATGTGGTTTTGAGAATTGTTCTCGGAACCTTGGCCTGTGTTTCTTGAGTTCTCCTAGTGATTCTGTAAACTGTTTGTATCCCTTAATAAATCACTCTCTTAAACTAATCAGGTTGGATTCTGTTGTCTGCAGTTAAGAATCTTGACCCATCTAGATTCCCTGTGAATAACAGTTGCTTTAGTTGTATGTGACATTCTTCTCTCCTTGGCTGGGCTAACCCATCAAGGAATTGAGATGTCTTTGCAAAGCATCCCCCTCTAGGGAAGAGTGTCCAGTGGTCTGTGAGAAAGCTGTCTGATCTACAGTGGGTCAGTAGTTTAATCAGGCAGACCTGTTTCTGTGGGAAAGTGAAGCTGTGGCAGAATCCAGTTCAGAATCTCTACCTTCCTCATAGCTGTTCACTGATACAATGTTATCTGTCCATTCAACAAATACTGAGTACCCATCTATCTTGCGCAAAACACCGGGCCACAAGTTGAAGATACAGAAATTTGGGTTTTGCCATCATCCCATGAGCTTAACATCTCACCGAGAATACAGAGTTAATAGGAAACTATAATTTGAAAATTGAGGGAACAATTTGTACAGCATGCCGGGGGACTTACTGGCAGAGTAGCCAGCCAACTCTGGCACGAAGATTGGCTCCTAGGAGAATGTCTGGATGGTTATAGACCTGCTCATTTAAGACTTTACCATTTTGGAGGGACTTTGGGGTTGCAGTAGGTAGTGTAATGGTGATCTTATCTATCATATCCCCACGTAAGGGAGACTAGATAGAGGAGGGATGAAGTAGCTGGTGAGCTTTTCTTTACTGTGAAGCAGAATTGGGTTCCCACTTTACTGTTGGACCTGTGTTAATGGGGAATTAGAAGGACGTAGACACGTCGTGAAGGGCAGGTAGGATTTTTGTCCTTTGCACCCCTAGGCCTGACAGCACCAGAACCTTTGCCTGGCTCTTTCTGTAGGAACTCAAAAGTTTGGCTGTTCAAATAAGTGTGGTAGGGCCAGTTGGTGGAACTAAACTGAGTAATTCTGATTTAAATCCAGTTGGCCTCTGTAGCTTCTAAGGTGCTTAAGGCAAAAATGGTGTTTGAGAGTCACCATGCAGTTGTGGATTCAGACAGATTGTTACAAGACCTGAAATTGAGTGATGATTCTAGAGGAGAGAGAGAGGAAAAAGATCAAAGACCTTGTGC